TTTGGGGGTGACGGGGATGGGGGAGCTGTGGCGGAGGGGGACAGAGAATTGGTGGTGGCAGTTTCTGGCGGTTGAAATATTTAGGGATTGGGAGAATTTCGAAAACTGTTTTGAATTGAATTGAGATTTTCAGATTGAGACTCGACGGATCTATGGCTTTCTCCCTCTTCACCTTGCGTCTCCCTCGGGCAGGCCTCGCAGGTGCACCTGGCCGTTTCAAGCTTGCACATTAGGTGCGCCTTCGTCGCGCGATACACCCCTAACCGCAAACTGCCTCGCCCCGGCTCGAAGCTTCAACTGAAGCCCTCGCGCCGTCTGCAACCTGCACGAGCCGACGCCAGGCACGCGATGTCTACGGCGGCGCCCGGCGCGGCGTCGGCCTCCTCCGCCGGCGGCGCCGCGCCCGCGGCCGGCGGGGTGTCGCACACCGAGCTAGGGTGTCTGCTGGGGGCCTTCCGGGACGTGGCGTCCAGCATCGGCATGCAAGTGCTGTCCGTGACGCTGCGCGCGCGCGCGGCAGGCGAGACGGCCGGCGACGCCACGGGCGGCACCGGCATGCCCAAGGGGCGGTCGAGGCGCGAGCTCAAGCTCATCGCGCTCGTGCAGACGTTCGCGGACAACGCCGCGCACGTCGGCTACGTGCTCGAGAGCATCGACATTAAGCCCGCCGGCAAGGAGAAGGTCGACAAGAAGGACTGGAGGGTTCGCGTACAGATTAAGGCCGCCCGCACACCGCCCGAGCCCCCCACAGCCTGAACCGCTTCGCCCGTCTCGCCTCGCTGTGCCGCCCGAGCCGTTGCCGTTGGTGGGAGTGGCTGGCGGGCGACCGCGCGCTGATCGCGCCGCCCTTGCGCCGCTGCACTGTCTGGTGCTACGTCGAGCGCATCGTATATCCTCGAATGCATCCTTCTGTCCGTCTCTGCGTAAACTGTATACACCGCATGCGTTTATGGAGAAGAAGATACCGCCCTCTCCCCCCGCGCGCCCTCCCACGCTCCACCCGCGTGCGCCACCAACCTTGGCCGCGCACGCAATTCCCCGTCGAGTCGCGCTCGCACCCGTGCCCACCGAGATGCGCCTCCGCGGCCCAACTGAAACCGACAAGCGCGAGCCGCAGTCTGCCGCTTCGCCGACGGCCCCACTGGCCCTCCGCGCCTCGTCGCCGTCGCTGCTCGCCACGTCCTCTACGTCGCTGGTCACCGCCTCTTCGCCATCGCTGCTCGCCGCCTCGCCGTCCTCGTCATACCCGGTGCTGTCCGCGACGCCCGCAGAAGGCATCCCCTCCATGCCGCCCATGGGGTCGCGCTCTGAACTCTGCCGCCTGACGCACTCGTCGGAGTGCCATGTGTACAGGCCGGGTCTCTTTGACGGCGAGGTCAACGCCGCCCCCAGCACTGGCACGCGCTACGTCGACGCCTCCCCCCTCGACACCGTCAAGCCCAGCAAAGGCCGCAGCTGGTTTTGTCCCCATCTCCGCCATGCGGCTGTTTAAGCCCTTCTCCGTCGAGGAGGGTTAGAGTTGAGGTCTACCCGATGAAGGGGAAGCGCTTGGCATGAGAGCGTATGGCTCTACTGCAGAGCAGACAGGACAGAAAAGCACTCACTGCTGAAGATTTATAAAATTGCACCAACTTTACACGTAGTGGAGACTTGATCACATCAGCATTTGTCCGCTCCCCACCTGCCCGCCTCTACCCGTTTCCGCAACAGACCCCCCACTCCCCGATAACTCTCATCTGCAAGCGATCTCCGCTCCCCCCCTCATACCCCACACCTCCAGCATGCCCTTCGGCAGCTCGGGTTTCGGTCAGACGGGGGCGTCGCTGTTCGGGTCGTCGGCCCCGTCCGTGTTTGGGGGCAACCGCGGCACCGGCCCGACCAACCTGTTCGGCGCCCCGGCGGCCGCCCCGTCCGGCTTTGGCCAGTCCATCCCGTCGGCAAACTCGCTCTGGCCCAAGCAGAATGCCGAAGACGCCATGCCAGCGGAAGGATCCCGCGCCGCCAAGTGGCAACTCTCCCAACTCTCCGACAGCGCCTCCGGCTCATCCTCCGAAGCCGGCAAGTACCTCACCATATCGGCCATGCATCCGTTCCGATCTTTCTCCGTCGAGGAGATCCGCCTCCACGACTACTCCCGCGGCGACAAAGGCGCCGACCAACCGCAGCCCGTCTTTGGCGCCTTTGGCTCACAGCAACAACAGCCCTTCGCCGCGACTGGTTTTGGAGCCTCCGCTGCGCCCGCTTTCGGCGCCTCCTCAGCCTCAGGCTTTGGCTCCACAATTTTCGGCGCTTCTCAGTCCGCCTTTGGCGGTGGCGCCGCAGCCACGCCGGCTCCTTCGCTCTTCGGCAGCTCTGCGGCTTCGTCACAACCGAGCCTGTTCGGCGCGCCGGCGCAACCCAACACAGGCGCTTCGCTTTTCGGCGCGCCGGGGCAACCGAACCCGACCCCCAGTCTCTTCGGGGCGCCGGCACAGCCCAACCCGGCCGCCCCCAGCCTCTTCGGCGCCGGGCAGCAGCAGCAGCCCAACACAGCTGCCTCGCTATTCGGCGCCCCCGCGCAATCCGCCCCCGTAAGGCTGTTTGGCGCGCAGCCCGCGTCATCAGCGTTTGGCGCCGCGCCTTCGTTCGGGGCTGCCGCGCCCAAGCAGAGTGCACCATCGCTGTTCGGCGCTTCCACGGGCTTTGGGGGCTTTGGGGCTGCGTCGCAGCCCGCGTCAGGGGCGAGCTTGTTCGGAGGCGGAAGCTCTGGCGCTTCGCTCTTTGGCAATACGGGGGGGAGCTTGTTTGGAAGCACCCCTGCCACAAGTGCGTTTGGCGCGACTAGCGGTAGTTTGTTCGGGGGGAATACTGCGGGGTCTCTCTTTGGGCAAGGGGGGCAATCGGGATTTGGCAAGCCTAGTGCTGGCGCCTTTGGGATGGCCGGTGCCTTTGGCGGACAGTCGCTGCAACAGCAACAGCAGGCACACGGGCCCTTGGAGGCCTCCTTGACTGCCAATCCATTCGGGGAATCGAATCTTTTTTCGGGTGTCGCGGCAGCGGCGCGTTCTATGCCTGGTGGTGCTGGAGCGTCTGTTATCAATACAGCAGTTGCTATAGGTCAGACGCAACCGAAAGCCGTTAGTGTGGTTGTGAAGACGCCGACAGAACCATATCGTCGAACTAGAGCTTCGGAGGTGCTCGCCAAGCACAATGTACTTCGGCGGAGAGATCCTGGCAGTGGCTGGTTTGCGGCGTCACCAATGCGCCCTTGGCGCGAGAGTGGATCTGTGTTCAATGTTGGCACGGTGCTTCGGCCCAAGACGAACCGCAGAGGTGGGTTTGGAAGGCCACAAGCGGTGAGATATGACGTCACGCCGTGGCGAACGGAGGAGCAGCGACTCAAGGCGGCAAATATAAAGAGACTGGTTGTTGAACCTATGACCAACGACCCGATCTTGAATCGAAATCGACAGTTTCAGGATGGGCAAGACTCCGAGCAAAGCGGGGCAGGTGAGAGAGGTGCTTTGGGTGATGACATGGAAACATCTGACGGAAGACCAAGTGATATAAACGGAAGAAATGAAGATCCTTTTGGATCATTTGAACCCGGAACAGAATCAGCCACACAAGAAGCCGTAGCAGAGGGCATTGGTGAGGTCATTGGTGACGGAGACGATGATGCTGATCAAGGATTACCTCGCAGCACTCAGTATCATGATGCTCACGCTTCCGGCCTAGCTCACGATGATGACGGATCATCTCCTAATGTACGCCAGGAAAGTGACGAGAGGAGCACAGGACCGGCTGTTGAATATACAGAAGTTGCGCAAAAAGAACTCTCCGCGTCCAAAACGAGATTGAGTCTTGGAGCTAATCGAAACAGGCGTTCTTGGAGGCGTGGTTCAGTTCACATGCCAACATGTAATGACCCAGAGTACTACATGATTCCTACCCATGATGAACTAGCGAAGATGTCGAGTGATGAATTGTCGAAGGTTGATGAATTAACTATCGGAAAGAAGGGTTTGGGAGAAATTTCTTGGTTGGAACCGGTCGATATGCGTGGTCTAGACATAGATCAAGTTGTCCAGATCAAGAAACGCGAGGTCAGCGTTTATCCACGTGACGACGACGTACCCGCTGTCGGTACGGGCCTGAACAAGCCGGCGAGGGTTAAGCTGTTTGGAATCCACAAGTTGGACAAACGGACTAACGAACCACTAACAGATGCTACAACTGCGGCCAAAATGGTCGGCAAGCTTAAAGCTCATTGCCAGAAGGAAGGACTCAAGTTTTTGGGATACGATGTCAAAACAGGAACATGGACGTTTCAATCGAACAGTTTCTAGACTTCGTGGGTCTTGTGTACATAGCAACAGCTGTGAGCTTTTGGAAAATTCCACGCGCAAAAAGTTTCGTCTCCTGTTCACTTGACAGTTTCTCGAAGTCCCAAGAGAACGGAACCCCCGACGTTGGTGACATTTATTCGATTCTGCCGCCCGAGCAAGTTAATAATAAAGACTACCAGCCAAAGTTTTTGGCTTAGACCAATTTTACGCAATGTACCCACATGTTGCTCCAAGACTGCTACAGAACGTACGGCAGTGCCAACTGAGCATTTCTCCAGGCCAATACAAAATATAGGGCCGTGCACGACCCTGCTACTGTCGCAACATTCCAGGCGAAGGACTCCCCCGCAGAGACGCATCATCCCCCGTCTCTTTCGCCTAAAATCCCCCGTCTCATCCAGGAAGACTGGAACATAGTACGGGGTCTTACTTTAAGTGACTGCGGGGCTGTGACAGGCTCTCAGGCCAAGCAGAGATCAAGGGATGAATAGCACACAGGCGCGGGGAACCCGAGTGCGCCTGAAAATCATGAGCACTCAAACTTTTTGGCTTCTCAGCTTTGTCAGTTTGTTTCTTGTTGGTGGGTTCCGATCTATTCCTGCTGTGCCAACGGTGATCGAAATCGCTTGGTCGCGAGGAGATTTGCTATCATGTGTAGCACACCGGTGTCTCCACCAGAAGTCCTTCCAAAAGCACAGAATGTCATTTGAAGATGCCGAGCTCTCACTCCGCAAAATTAAAAGACTGCTCTATATGAAGCCACTGTTCCCCCCGGCGTTTCCTCAAGAGTTCTCTGACAAGGCCATTCGATCAACATGTGCTGTCATTGGAGGCTCTCCTTTATCTCCACATATATCTGCAACGGAACAGAGCCGTCTGGTCGACGAAACAACAGACCTAGTCTTTCGACTAAATGTACGAGTACCAGAATTGCTCGCGGCAGAGGGTGCGTCACCGCCCCTGGGCAAGCGGACTGATGCAGTTTTCATACAACGGGGGTCTCTGAGATCCTTTGAACGATATATTCAAGGATGGGGAGGGCAAAATGCAAGCCGAGGGACTCTCCGAAAACAGGCCGGCGAAGCGTTTAAGGCCAAATGGCATCCGACGATGCTTTTTCGCCACGAATGCCCAAGTCGATTTGAGTCCTGTCCCAAAGCCTGGCATGCCCTCGCCCGGTCCTCCTTACCCGCTTGGTCCGATCTTCATGTTCTGCACTACGGGCTCGAAATGAAAACACAGATGCTGCTTCACGACTTGAATGTAAGAAGAAACTTTTCTTTGGCAACAGACGTCCCCACCACTGGCATCGTTGCTATTGTAACTGCATTGCACATTTGCAAAGCTGTGAATGTGTTCATGTTCAATGGATCGATTACTGGGGACGGCGATGTACCAACTCAAGATGTGTGGCGTGGCCACAATCTAAAATCAGAACGGGCTCTGCTGCAATGGCTTGGTACCTGCACAGGGGAAGAGTTTGAAATATGTGGAAAGCTCACAATCTTTTCATGATTCGCAACACCACGTTTGAGGCAATTTAAGATTGTTACTTCACCGTCGTCACAGCAAGAATTGTCAAGATGCATCCGAATCCCTTCCATTTCCCGTCGTTCACAAGCACGCGCCAGTTGGGCTGATGTGAGATTTCAACTTTTCCACTTGCGAATCTATGAGAACAAAAGGTGATTTGGAACCAGAAGCCTTGTAATTCGCTGTACCCATTTGTGGATAACCCCATTGGTGTTGTGAAGAAAGCCCCAGAGACAGCCGGTACAATACCGACGAATTTTCATCCATCCGTGCTCTTACAAAGACCTTATTCACGCGCTCGTTTCTTGATTTCTCTTTCTTGGTCGCGGGGCGTGCACACTTTGCCTTCATAGATAGCGATTGAGAGCGATTACGTGAAGCGATATTTCAGCAGTAGCATGGGTGTCCTCAGGAATTGATGGAAAGACGCCATAAGAAACCTGAGGAAAGCAGCTCCCAACACGCAAAGATGTCGACATGGCAACGTTGCTCCAATCAGGTAGTGGCGATCTCGTAGTCCAAGGCTTCGCCTCTCGCAAACTGGACGAGGGTTCTCAGGGTCGCCTTGGCAACAGACGCTAAGGCATTTGTAGTAAGGGCTGCCTGATGCCCGGTGATGAGGACGTTGGGCATTGATCTAAGGAGCTGAAAGTCAGGATTTGTCTGGACACCCGTATGATCCTGGAAGAAGAGGTCAGCTTCGCCCTCAAACGAATCGAGGGCGAGCCCTCCCACCTGCCCCGCCTGCAAAGCAGGGATGACAGCCTTTACATCCAGCAGGGCCCCCCGGGAGGTGTTAATGAGAAGCACCCCTCTCTTACACAGTGGTATCGATTGTGCGCCAATCATGTGCCTGGTGCCAGAGACGAGTGGGGCGTGCAGCGAAATGATATCGCTAGTGGCGAGCAAAGTGTTAATGGAGACGTATTTTATTCCCATGTGCTTGATGTCAGGCGATTCGATCATGTCAAACGCGATAACGTTGCATCCAAACCCGCTGAGTATGCGGGCGACTGTAGTGCCGACTTTTCCTGTCCCAATGAGTCCGACAACCTTGCCTTTCATGTCGAAGCCCACTAGACCATGCATGGTCATGTTTCCCTCGCGTACTCGGTTGTATGCGAGGTGTAATTTGCGGTTGAGTGAGAGTATGAGTAAGACGGTATACTCGGCAATTGAGGTTGGGGCATGGGCGGGTGCTGGGGCAAGGCGCATTTTCAACGAGGCGACCTTGTTGCGGTCCACAGCGGGGACACCAGCGTAGCGCAGCGTGATAAGCTCTACACCGGATGCGTGTAGAATTTGCAATATGGCGGCATCAGCATAGTCGTTTGCGAAAAGGGAGACAGCTTTGGCGCCCGCTGCAAGAGTGGCAGTGCTCTTGTCGAGAGGAGCAGAAACGAAGACGATGTCGAGTAGCTGAGTTTCAGGAGAGAGCTTCATCTCGTTGCGGAAGGCGGCGACTTCGTATTGCCTGGCGCCGAACATGATGACGCGCAGGCGCTGGCTTTGGCCGGCGGCATTGAAGCTGTCGGCCATGATAGAGGGAGCAAGTGAGGAACGGAATGACGTGCGAGTGTGTATGGCGGGAGTTTGCAAGGGTTAAAGTGGGTGTGTGAGGGACATGATTGCTGGTGTATAGCCAAGAGGAGGCAGCGGGGGGAGTTTTGGGGGAAGGGAAGGGGGTTGATATGGACTGGGAAATCTCGGAGGACAGGATTTATTTGGACACAACGACGAGGGATGAGAGCGCAAAAATGTTTAACGGCTGTGTGTTGAAAACAGGGTTCCGAAACAACGTGGGCGCCGCAGCCGCGCCAGAGCCATCAACTTGACTTTTTTGTACGTTTGCTTTTTCAGTTTCCATCGCGCCACACCCTTGCTTTTCTCAAGACGTTGCGAGGCGGCAGGCATCTGGCATTATTGCCGAGGCTTGATGTGCTGTATGAAGTATCGTTGCACGGGATCGCTTTGACGCCAATGCCATGGTGCCATGCCATGGTGCCATCGCAATCCAGTCTAATTCATGTTGCCCGCGATAAACGAAATGCTCATCATACCCGTAGGCCAGACGTTCAAAACGCACCGATATTTTTCCAGCGCGTGCCGCTCACGCATACACTGCCGCCACGGCACTATGTGATTGATTATGTGGTATCTCTCAGAGCTCGGCAAGCCTTGCTACTGGCTCCCCGAAGCTCGGGAAAGCCGAACAGCCTCCTCGTACCATCGCACAGTCGCTGCCGCCTGCACAGCCACCTCTTGATTCCAATTCGCCTTACACATGACTGGCACTCGCACGACAAATAACCGTTCCTCTTTATTCTTCTCCCCCACGGCGACAGTAATCACTCTCCCTAGATTACCAAGGGTAGACACTAGTTCCCCTTTTTTGCTGATGCTCCGACATGAAGCCCCCTCCAAATCGAATAATTATCATATTATTATTCGATTGTCAACAACTGTTACTTCACACTATGCGTCTCCAAAGTTTACTTCCTGCGTCCGCGAGATTCCTAAAGAGTCTATCGTGGCCCACTTCGCGACGCGGACCTACAATAACTCTCGCAACCACAGGAAAGAGCAAGCAGTGCCGACCCACTGAACACTGAACGCACTTACTATGTTTGCCCTCAATGTCGTCATCAATGCGACATGCAATTATCGATATTTACTGGCTTACACGCAGCGTTACAACGCTTTGACGCACTGACTGCTGTTGACACCGCGAAGCATTCTCGCCGAGCCAGTAACTTTTGGTCAACAGACTTGGTTCCACGAATCAGACTAAAACTTACGCCTACCCAATCATACGCTTGTCTACATGAGCTACGCACCACCCTGATAGTTTCGTCTTGAACTACGCTCGAGCTTCCGTTGCAAGTGTACGTCCCGCTTTCCACGCAAAGCGATTGCATCCCGCCATCAACGTACTCAGCAGTCACGCTTGGCGTAGAGATTAAGCATTGGCGTTCATTTCTTATTCTTGTGTGAAAACATCTGCCTGTGCCGAAACCATCTTCCTCCGCGATGTACAATTTTTCTGTTTCAACCGGCCATTCAATGCCCCACGAGGTGCATCTACACCCATGTAAGTTCGGCCAGGCCCTCCAATCTTCAACCGACGAACTGCGTCAGCTTCACTTCTCTCCCTTCTAGCACCCCTTGACCAGGGCTTCTGCAAAGTTGGCGAATGATCTGCTTCTGAATCCTTCACATACTCGTTCTGGTCCGAGTTTTCCTCGTCGCTCTTGCTCACGACTTTGACATCGCAATTATTACATCCAGCCATGTAGGTTACTTCAAACGGCACTACTGATGACAGTTTGAACAACATGCATGAAACAGGACAGAAATGTGATCTTATCCGTTCTTGTTCAACTTGATAGCATTCATATACTTAACAAAGTCCTCATAGGCCTCCTTATCCTCCTGGTCATTGACTCCTTCCCCTCCAAGCTTTCTCAACCTCACATCCTCGACGTGCGCATCTCCTGAAGCATCTTCCTGTTCCTCCTCACTCTCCTCGCCCGGCTTCCTCGGTGCCCACTTGGTATCGCGCTCCGCTTCTGTCTGCGGATCGCGATCGTTCCTGAAGCTTTCGATCTGGTCGTTAACTCTCGCTATCTCGGCCGCGGCCTTTTGGCGTTTCCGTTCTTCCAGTGCCGGCTTATACTCGGCGTAGTACTCTCTGGTGGCCGCCTGAATCGCACGAACCAACTGAGGCATCCCCTCCCCAGTGTGCGCGCTGACACCCACGCTCTGCAGGTTGTTGTAAAACTCCTCCAGCGCCATGGCCATGGAGCGGGCGAGCGTGCCGACAAAGTTCTCCTCCTTCAACGCGGCGTCAAACTGATCAAAGTCTTCCATCCAGGCCTGCGCAAACTTGCAGGACGTGACATCGATCTTATTAAACACGATGACCATCGGGAGCATGGTCTTGTACAATATGGAGCACGCGTACAGCATGTTACTGACAAAGGTCATAGCGCTCTGACTCCTCTCCGTATCAATGACGAACAGCACGACGGTAGGCATGGTGACGGCGAGGGCTTCCGTGATAATGCGTCCCGACGCGGACCAGGTGAAGGTCTCTATCTGGCCGGGGGTGTCGAACAGCACAGCGCGGACCTCCGCGGCGCGCTTCTCGACCAGGGTGAGGACCTGGTCGAACTTGACGGCGTACAGGTTGAGCGCGGTGATGATTGCGCCGTTGGGCCCGAGCGAGTACTCCTTCATGACGTCCTTGAAAACGAGGGTGTCGCGGATGTCCACGTTGGGCTCGTACGGCAACGTGTGCACGGCGGGGTCGAGGTTGACGACGTACGCGCCCACGGGGGTGTCGGCGGCGGCATTGGGGGCGGCTTCTTCTTCCGCATCGTCGTCGTCTTCTAGCCAGGCGGAGAGCGCGTCGACCAGCGTCGTCTTGCCGGACCCCGCCATGCCCAGGACGAGGCAGGCGGGGGTTTGCAAATCGGAGGAGGCGCTGGCCGAAGCAGCGGTGGAAGGGGGAGCCGAGGGCTCCCCCCCTATGATTTCGGGCGTGCTGGTGGGGTTAGGCATGCGGAAGCATAGTCGACGCGACTGGGGCGGTCGTGGGGGGGGGAGGGGGAGGAGCGCTGCAAGAGTGAGAAGGGTGTCTACGAGGAGGATGGGATCAAGAGATAGGCGCCGGTTCACGTTCAAACACGTGTCATACGTGTGGGAGCTGTAGGTGATCCAATCGATGTAGTATGATAGTGAATGTAACTGGATTATGTAAGAAGATCCTTGATCCGAAAATGCGCCATATCGAGGCACCGGTTTTGCTCTTGGCGGGAAAGGCGCGGGAAGTCAGGCGGATGCGAAGGGAATGCGAGATGGCTCGCAGGCGGTCGCCGTAGCCGTCCACTCGGGCGGCAAAAGGGCCACTTCAAGGCCCTTCCCGCCAACAACACCGATGCACCCGCGTTCCCAAACGGCCCCGCCATTCCGCCCGCGCCCGCCTCCTACTCCGCTCGTACCCTGCTCCTACTTATCCTCCTACTTATCCTCCTACTCGCCATGCCCGGCTACCCCCACCCCACCTCTCCACCCTAGTTCCCCCTCCCCCCCCCCTCCTCGCCATGCCGACCCACACGCGCTCCGCAGTCAGGAACCGCCTCGCACCCCTCCCCCCCGTCTTCGGCCGCGTCGCAAAGCCCCGCACCCGCCGCAACGCGCGCAAGAAGCCGCTGCCCGTCTCCCCGCTCCCCGACGTTCCCGCGTCCCCCGTCTCCACGCAGGACACGCTCCGGCCGCCCTCGTCACCCCCCACCAAGCCGGCCCCACTCCCCCCTTCCCTCTCGCTCGCCTTCACTCCGCAAGGCGCGCCGCTCTCGCGCGAGTCGCACTACGCCCGCATCCGCACCTCACTCCTGCGCGCCCTCACGCCTGCGCACCGCGCCCTCTCGCTCTACGTCAGCGGCACCCCCGGCACCGGCAAGACCCTGACGGTTTCCTCCGCGCTGTCCTCGCTCTCGCTGCCGCCGTCGCGCTCCGTCTGGCTCAACTGCGCGCACCTCGGCGCCCCGCGCAACCTCTTCTCCGCCCTGTGCTCCGCGCTCGGCCTGTCCGGCGACCCGGAGCAAGCCGTGCGTGCCTTCGCCTCGTCCGCAGGCGAGCGCGTCGTGCTCGTGCTCGACGAGGTCGACTTCCTGGTGTCGCGGGACCAGCTCGTGTTGTACGCCGCCTTCGAATGGCCGCACCTGCCGAGCTCCAGGCTCAGCGTCATCGGCATCGCGAACGCCGTCGACCTGCCCGTCCGCCTCCTGCCCTGGCTCAGGGCCAACGCATGCATGCCCGAGCTGCTCCCGTTCGCCCCGTACACGTCGGACGCGCTGCAGGAGATTGTCAGACAGCGAGTCGCCCCCGATGGCGCGCTGTCGAAGGTCGCCGTCCAGCTCGCCGCGAAAAAGGTCGCCGCGGGCTCCGGCGACGCAAGGTTGGTGCTCGATGTGTGCCGCGAGGCCGAGTCGCAGGTTGCGCGCGCGGACGGTGGAAGCGCTATCGCTGTTGTGTCACGTATACTACAGGCGCGTGGAGGCTTGAGCCAGGCTGTAGACACTATTAGTCAGCTGCCCGTGCAGCAGCAGCTCGCGCTGTGCGTGGCGGCGAATGCGGTGACCATGGGGGGGAAGAGTGCGAAGAAGGCGACGCTGGGCGGGTTGTACGAGAGCTTCGCTAGGATGTGCAGCAGGGCTAAGGTGGGAGGAGTCACGTTTGACGAATTTGCGCAGATTTGTTGTAATGCGCTTGCTAGTCATGGGTTGCTGGATGTCGCACAAGGGAGGGGGAAGAAGGTAAGGACTATTCGGTCCAAGTTAGTAAGGTTGAAAGTGGATGTCGATGATGTTAGGGCCGGCGTCGCAGGTAGGGGGTTTCTGCCTCTGTTGATTGCGCGGTAGCGGCCGGGTCGGCGGAATGTATACTAGGTGCGGTTGGTAAACTCAATTTTGAATAGTTGCGCAAGCTTTTGCTCGGGACGACGCTGCTACGGGTGAGTGTGTACATGATTTCCACCGCACGTGCGCTTCATCCACTCCGACGGGCCATGGATCAAACAGGCAACAGTTTTTATCTTTCACGCGAGTAAGACTCTTCATGCGGTTCGGATTGATGATCTCGGAATTCAGCAAGATATTCGCTCTGCATCTACTAGCAGCTCGCGTTTGAAGTTCCAGCCGCGTGCTTCTGAACACCATGAAATGGTGTTGTTGATGTGGCAAGTGCCGCATGTGTGCTGCGAGTAAGTGTGTCCAAAAGGGTGAGCCTCAATCCAATATTGGATAAAAAGCATGAAAAATCTCTCCGATTAGCCGCCAGATTTTGTGCTTTGCCTCATTTCTGATCGAGGTGCAACTCTCGCAAGTCCCGGTTGAGCCGTCCTCACTGAGTCTTCGATGCCAGCACGGATTTGACGGTGCTCCTCGACCGAAGTTGACCACCGATCAAGTGATCAGCATTGGAATCCCGACGAAATCTCACGGAACTTACAACTTGCACAAATCTACACCATCCCACATCTCCAAGCCTTCTGGTACACGCAGACTCTCCGCGATGCCGCCCCGATTTTGCCACGGGTTCGTCCCCTCGACTCCCAGTCTCCCAGCGTGTTCCGGCCGCTCATTGCGAATCGCGCGCCAGCCATGCGGAAAGCACCTGCTCACCCCGGCACCGTCCCGCCGTTGCTTCCTGCCCCGCTTCTCAATGAGCGACCACGGCGGTGGCGGCGACGTCTCGATTCCAGACCACGGCAGCGCCGACGCGTCGGTCGGTGATATTGGGCACGCGGATCACGACGCCACTGCGCACGCCGCTGAGCACAACACCGATGCTGCCGGCGAAGACGGAACAGAGCTTCGCGCCAAGCGCGACGACGAAGACTGGGAGGAAGAGGCTGGCGTTTCCGACGGCGCGCCGTCGATGGTACAAGGCCCCGCGCAAGCGCCGACGAAAGCGGGGGTGTCGACAGAGGGGATGCCCGAGGGCGACGCGGCGTTCATCACGGCATGCTATGACGCGGACGTGGGCGCGATCGAGGCGGCGCTAGACAAGGGGCAGGACGTGAACGTGACGGACGTGAACCGGCGCTCGGCGCTGCACTTTTGCGCGGGGAATGGGCTGCCGACGCTGTGCACGCGGCTGCTGGACATGGGGGCCGACATCGACGGCAGGGACGTGCTGGGGCTGACGCCGCTGCATATGGCGACGGGGTACAAGAAGGTGGACACGGTGGTGCTTCTAGTGGAGAGAGGGGCGGATGCGAACATCGCGAGCATGAGTGGGGAGCTGGCCGTGGAGATTGCGGAGCGGATGTTCGAAAAGACGCCGGAGAAGAAGTTCTTTTTGAAGAATGACGACCACGCGCGGCTTAAGGAAATCGTGGAGATTTTGGACGAAGCGACGGAGGAGGAAGAGGAGGTGGCGGACGAAGGCGATGAGGGAGTAGGGGAGGAGGTGGTGCAGGAAGAGGGGAGCTCTAAGTTTGTGGTGCGGGTGAAACCCAAGGGGGAGACTAAGGCAGAGCGGCCGGCAGATCCACCGGCCAGTGACGTCAAGGTGACGATTCGAGTGAAAGAACCTAAGAAATAAATGAAGGGGAGTGCGGCTTTGAGATCGTGATGGCGATACCTCTTTCGGCAGCAACAACGTCTCGACTCACGGCTACGGGTTTGGGTAGATAGAGGAGGCATACGAAGTAATGGCGAGGGCGAAGACAGTGAGGGCGGCAGACGAGCTTTACAGGAGAAGCGCCTAAACAAGTGTGACCGCGGGTGACGTTATGGCCGGCAAGCGGGGATCGCTGGTGCTCGGCGTGGACGACACGTGCGACCGGGTGGCGGCTCGCGACGGCTCGCGGCGGCGCGCAGCAGACTGCTTCGGCGCGGGCGATAAAACATTGATCTGGTCTGCGTGCCGACGGGGAGTTAACGGTATTTGTGGAAGCCGATGTTGTTGGCGTTCTCCTTGAAGCAGCGGCGACAGATGTCCAGGCCGTACTTGCGGATGATGCCGATGCGCGAGGCGCAGGTGCGGCAGCTGCGCGAGCCCTTGCCGTAGCCCTTGGGGTGCGAGCCCCAGACGTTTTCGTGACCCATGGTGGGGAGAGGGGGTGTTTCGGTTGTTGCGTAACCGGGGGGAAAGAGAAGTGCGGCGGATGGGTGCGGTACGGGGGGAAAGAGCGAGGGTCGGGAGGGAGATGTTAAGGTCAGTGTTATCGACGGCGACTTGGTTCGTGAAACATGAGTGAAAATTATCCAACCAGAGAAGAAGAAAGATGAAAGTTTAACAAGTGCAATTGTTCTCGGATCTGCTCTTGATTTTTCAAATTCGCGCAAAGTTTCAACTATTTTGCCGAAAACATTACACCGGCCCAGTGTGCATCCGTTACAGTATGACAGCGGCACTGCAGCTTGAAAACTTTCATGTGGCGCGGGACTACGTATAACGTAACCTGGTGATGCAAGACAACGGGTAGCAGAGCGACAGGCAGAGCCTGGAGAGGCAACTGCGTAACGGTGTAGCAGGCAGGGCCTCGAGACGCAAGGAAGTGGGCAGCGGTGCGACGGTTGGAGCCTGGAGATGCAAGGCAATAGGTAACGTAGTGGAGCGGCAGTTGGATTACGCTATACCCAGCGAAGTGTGCACTTCCCGGAAGGTGTAATTCCGGACTTGGGATGTCCTCCTTTCCAAATGCATTCACCCCAAGCCTTCCTCAGAGACGCTGCGCACTAGCTACTGCAGCAAGTTTACATCCTTGTGCGGTGACAGCGTACGCGTAGATCGAACGCGTATTCCCACGCCCTCTCGCATCCATGCCGAGATAAAGTTTTAGTTAAAAGCGTCCTCCTTCATTTAATTACACGAGTTGTATGCTTTCATCCCCTTACTGGTAGCCTAAACCACAGCACGGAAACAGCACCAAACTGCTAGGACACGCCATGTTAACCGTCAGCGACCCACCGCAAAAACAACACTACGCCTGGCCTCTGCACGCAAATCCCCCATCCGCCCCTCCACAAACAAAACTGTTACTACTACCAAGCCGCGAGGAAGAATAGCGCAAGCCATATAAGGCGCGCGCTCTGCCGGCATGCGGCTCTCGAATGACGAATGTATACATACATCAAGCACACCGACATGCGCGGCCTCATCTAGACAGCCACGGATGCGAGAGGGCCTCGCGTGCGGAGATGCGATTGCGCTGGTCGAACGCGAGCATGGAGTTAATGAGGTGCTTAATCTCCGGCGTGCATGCGCCGAACAGCTGGCTGGGAAAGCGCAAGTCGCCGGCGAGCACTGCGCGCTTGATGTCATCTCTCGTGTCGCCGGTGAACGGGCGCTCGCCGGAGAGCATGAAGTAGAGGACGATGCCGCACGACCATACGTCGGCGGGCGGCCCATACGGGACGTTGCGGATGATCTCGGGGGCGACGTAGGACGGGGTGCCCACGACGGAGTGGATGTTCTTGTCCTCGTTGCAGAAGGTGGCCAGGCCAAAGTCGGTGATCTTCGGCAGGTCCGGGCGCTCCATGAGAATGTTCTCCGGCTTGATGTCGCGGTGGACAATGTTGAGGTCGTGCATGTAGGCGATGGCGCTGAGGATGCCGCGCAGGACCGGGCGGGCGTTCTCCTCCGACAGACGCTTGCGCGCCCGGATGAAGTCGCGCAGCGAGCCGCCGGAGACATACTCCAGGACGATGTGCGGCTTACCGGCCGCAGAGAAGAAGTCGACGGCCTTGACCAGGTTGGGGTGGTCTGTGACGGACAGAACCTTGACCTCCCTCCTGATAAACTTCTTGCTCTTCTCCAGGTCGTTCTTGTCCTTCTTAATAACCTTGACGGCGAACTTATCACCGGTATTCCTATCCGAGGCGACGTACACGCGCGAGAAGTGGCCCTTCCCGATGCCGCGCTCGCGCTTGTAGAACCTGTCAAACTCGGTGCCGGCGCTGCGGGTGAGGGCGTCGACCCAGCGCTCGTACGTGGGCATGTCGGGGGCGCGCACGGTGATGGTGCACTTGTGGAGGCGGAGCGTGAAGGACAGGTCGCCCGGGTCGACGGCCTTGAGCTCCTTGATGGGCGAGCGCCACAGCTCCGGGTACGACTGCTCCGCGTGGGCCGCCAGCGTCGCGCCGCGCAACTTGAAGAACAGGCGGCGCGGCGTGGTGTCCGCCCGCGCGAACAACGCGCTCTTCACGGCCGACACACGCACCAGCCAGTCCGACTCCTTCGAGTCCGCCGCGTATCGCAGCTCGACCATTTTGTGCGT